TAAAAGGCTCAATCGTGAGTTTCCGCCATGTTACGGGGAATGGGATGCGGGGAAGGGAGGAGATTTGTTTTGAATGCAACCTAGTGCTGTTTCAACACACCTAGCTTCTATATTGGGGAGACGTTCTGCGAAATTCTATTTGTAGCACCTTTAAGACTCCGTTATGTTTCATCTGTAGGTTCTACAAAGCAAAAATATGTGTCATATGAAGCTTTACCGCTTGCTCTGTAATATGAGTAGTATTTCAATTATTTTTTACATTAATTTATGAATACTGGAAAATATAAACATTTTTTAAAAGATATCGTTGAACATAATATACTCTATGGTCATATCAAAGGTCCAGAGTGGGATCTCTGCTACTTTTAGAGTTATGTTCCAATGGCGAGGGTGCATAAAGATGGAGGAATTCAAATATGACATCATTGTTGTTAGCACTACCCACAGAGTTCTTAAACTCAGAACTGCTGAAACTGGATTTTAAAGAATTGTTTCTAGCTTTGAAAGACTCCAAAAAGCGGCCGATTATTTCAGGCTGTCGTGAAAGATTCAGCAGGCTGCTGGCATTACACATCTGGCTGTACCTCTGTTGGCATAACTTTTATAGATAACTATGGCACATTCTTGAAACAGAAGTTGCTCTAAAGTAATGACGGAGTCCATCCAAATAATCTTAGTGCTGGACCCTGTCCACACATTTCAAGGCAGTGTTGACGCAATTACTTATCAGTGACCCAAACCCTGCTCAGATAATCCCTACCATTGTGTCGCTGAACTGTCATACTGCTGCTGCAAATATACATTTTCCCAGGGGTGTTGTCAGTCATAATGTAAATAACCTAATTTATGTTCCTCTAAATGCCTCTGTCAATCTGACAGCTACTGTCAGCAATAATCTTGTGCCTATGAACCTGAGTTATACTGTTAGCACTGAGACGGTTTGCCCTAGTAGGAAGCCCACTGTGAGCAGTTCACACTGCACTATCAATTATAAATATTCCTGTCATGTGTACCTCTGATAAGCCTCCCAGTAAAGCAATAAAAACAATCAAGGAACTGAGAAAAGCGGGAAAAATAGCCCACGTTAACATATGTAGCCAAATAAACAATGTTCATGAAATCGATAACTTGCTAGAAACAGAAAGCATTCATATACTGGCTATCTCTGAAACACACTTAGATAATTCCTTTGATGATACAGTGTTAGCAATATATGGTAATAACATCTACAGAAGAGACAGAAGTGCCAATGGTGGAGGTGTAGCTGTTTATATTCAGATGCTGTTGAAGTAATATGGCTACAGGTTCACCCGCCTCATCTAAAGCCTATTCTTTTGGGGAGTTGCTATAGACCACCAAGTGCTAACAATCAGTATTTGGATAATATGTATGAAATGCTTGATAATGTGTGTGATATCACCAGAGAGGTACATTTTCTGGGTGACCTAAATATTGACTGGTTTTCATCAAGCTGTCCACTCAAGAAAAAGTTTCAAACTGTAATGTTCTGAAGGCTGGGCCTAATGTAGTGTATAAGAGATCATACAATAGGTTTTGTAGTGATTCCTATGTTGAAGAAGTAAATAATATTTGCTGGTCTGTTGTGTGTTATGAGGAACAAGCAGATGCTACACTTGACGCATTCATGAAATTGCTTATTCCAGTTACTAATAAGCATGCACCCAATAAGAAAATGACTAAAAACTGTTAAATACCTGTGGATTGACGAAGAATTAAAAAATGGTATGGTTGAGAGGGACGAGGCAAAAGGAATGGCAAATAAGTTTGGCTGCATAGCTGATCGTCAAATGTATTGTACACTATGTAAAGTGTTGGTCCCATGTTTCCTGAGCTGAAATAAAAAATCACATTTTCCATATGCACAAAAAGCTCCCGCCTATTCCTCTCTTTGGATTGGTAGATACATCTAATTGTTGACGTCAACTGCCTGTATACAACGGAGAGAGATGCTATGCTACTAGCCTCATGTCATGAATATGCATAGCCATCTCGAGACAACTCCAATATAAAGTGTTTTTTCCAAAGTTCCCGGGATGTCATGTGTCCTACTTATATCAGTACACTCGTAACAACGTAAGCATTATGAAACTTCTATTCAACCAAATATCCCTCACTTAGCAAATGGCATTACTTTTTCTGTTGACCAGATTCGACACTCTCTCATTGTGACCTCCATACAAAAATTCCTTGCTTGGTGAGTGAAAACATTGCCACCTGCTGGAAAATGCATATTTTAGGCCAAGTTGGGCCTCTTCGCCTCTTCCTCTCTGGCATTACCAACAGTTCCTCTCTGGCATTACCAACAGAGTGTATGTGAAAATGGATTTTAAATTGTCGCCCTCTTCTAGTGATTTGCAGGATGTGCAATGATACAACTAGAAGGAGGGATTTGATTGGTTACATTGCCTATAATATCTCGTGGACAGATTAAACGGGAAGTGAAAGCTACATTGAATTGCCTACAATGCCAATGTATCTGTATAAAATGGGCCATAACTTATTTTGTTTTCAATAATCATGTTTATATTTTTGATATTAATAAATTATTGTAAAAGCAATAAAATAATATAACCCTAAATAATACTCATATCAGAGAGCATGCGGTAAAGCTTAATATGCTTTTTAGAGGGGAACGGCACCTCCGTACCTTCAGGCTCTGATCAGTCCCTACACCCAAACGAGGGCATTGCGTTCATCCACCTCTGGCCTGCTGGCTCCCCTTCCTCTGCGGAAGCATAGTTCCCGCTCAGCCCAGTCAAAACTGTTCGCTGCTCTGGCACCCCAATGGTGGAACAAGCTCCCTCACGACGCCAGGACAGCGGAGTCACTCACCACCTTCCGGAGACATTTGAAACCCCACCTCTTTAAGGAATACCTGGGATAGGATAAAGTAATCCTTCTACCCCCCCCCCCCCCCCCCTAAAAAAATAATTTAAAAAAATCTTATCCCACTGGCTATAGGGTCAATGCACCAAATTGTAAGTCGCTCTGGATAAGAGCGTCTGCTAAATGACGTAAATGTAAATGTAAATGTAGAGCATACAGATTAAACACTATGGAGTCTTAAAGGAGGCCTGTGTACAAATGCCAAAATGTCATGAATATGCCAACTTTGATAGATTATTTCTCAATTATGCTTTTAGATACAAATTTCAAATATGTGTCAACAATCCTTCCTCCAAAGGATCATTCGATGGATTAAATTGAGTGAAAACCCCCAAAATCATGCTGTTTTTTTGTCCTGGTTTCGTGAGGAATCACTCATAGGGAGAATTCGTCAACAGGATGAACTGCCTTCTTTTCTCTCATCAATTTGAATGACAAATAATAAAATATATATACAGTACCAGTTAAAAGTTTGGACACACCTACTCATTCCAGGGTTTTTCTTTATTTTCACTATTTTCTACATTGTATAATAATAGTGAAGACATCAAATCTATGATATAACACATATGGAATCATGTAGTAACCTAAAAAGTGTTAAACAAATCAAAGTAGATTTTAGATTCTTCAAAGTACCCTTTGCCTTGATGACCGCTTTGCACACTCTTGGCATTCTCTCAACCAGCTTCACCTGGAATGATTTTCCAACAGTCTTGAAGGAGTTCCCATATATGCTGAGCACTTGTTGGCTGCTTTTCCTTCACTCTGCCATCCGACTCATCCCAAACCATCTCAATTGGGTTGAGGTCAGGTGATTGTGGAGGCCAGGTCATCTGATGCAGCACTCCATCACTCTCCTTCTTGGTCAAATAGCCCTTACCCAGCCTGGAGGTGTGTTTTGGGTTATTGTCCTGTTGAAAAACAAATGATAGTCCCACTAAGCGCAAACCAGATGGGATGGCGGTCCTCATGAGAGCCAGTTTCATCATAGCGCTTGATGGTTTTTGCTACTGCACTTGAAGAACCTTTCAAAGTTCTTGAAATGGTCCAGATTGACTGACCTTCATGTCTTAAAGGAATGATGGACTGTCATTTCTCTTTGCGTGTTTGAGCTGTTCTTGCCATAATATGGACTTGGTCTTTTACCAGATAGGGCTATCTTCTGTATACCCCCCCTACCTTGTCACAACACAACAGATTGGCTCAAACGCATTAAGAAGGAAAGAAATTCCACAAATTAACAAGGCACACCTGTTAATTGAAATGCATTCCAGGTGACTACTCCATGAAGCTGGTTGAGAGAATGCCAAGAGTGTGCAAAGCTGTCATCAAGGCAAAGGGTGGCTACTTTGAAGAATCTCAAATATAACATATAAAAGTTTAACACTTTTTTGGTTACTACATAATTCCATATGTGTTTTATCATAGTTTTGATGTCTTCACTATTATTATACAATGTAGAAAATAGTCAAAATAAAGAAAAACCCTGGAATGAGTAGGTGTCTCCAAACATTTGACTGGTACTGTATATATAGTTACTGTATTATTTCACATCATTTTGCAACACTTTCCAATCCTTGAGTAATCAGCAATACTGTAAATAAGCACCCAGGGTGTCTGTCATTGAATTAACAACTCTGAAATCAAATCTGATCAAAATATGCAAATATTATTTTCATGTGGCCCTTAGCAGACTGTGATAGTTGCAGTACAGAAATGACATACTATTCACCCCCAAATAGCCCAGTCTGTTAAAAGCCTTTGGGGCTGCATTTGGGCTGCCCATGGAAACTGGAACACCACCACCACCACCAAAGAAGGGTAAGAGTCATGACATATTGTGGAAACAGCATGAGACATATCTGAAAAATACAATTGATCCCTGATCTGTATATTCGGTTTTAGAGCATGCATTGACAAAAGTCCAAAGGCATGCATACATCGATTTGACTGTACTCTGATGTAAAAAATGTATTATTGTACATTCATTTAAATTAAGGTGAAGATATCTTTTGAAAGTGATGGGGGGAATTGGAAACGGGAAATTACAGCCATGTTCATTTAATAAAAATAAAATCCTTTGTGTCACACAGAATTTGACGACCCATGGAGGAAAGTATCTTGGAGGTAAGCACGTACTGACTGACCAAGCATGGAGAAGAATGCAAAGGATGTTACAATCAATATCAAGGGATGTGCATACAGTGTGCTATGCTAAATTGATGATAAATCATTGTCTCTGACAGTAAACAAAACAGGGATGAGATGGTGAGGGTCCTGAGGAACTTTGAACTGAATGATCCTGACGTGGGTCAGCTGAGATGCCTGCTACATGGACCAGTCGGAGCAGGGAAGTCCAGCTTCATCAACTCAGTAAACAATGTCTTCCAAGGACGCATAACATCTGGTGCCCTGGTTGCAGCTGCCTCTGGCACAAGCTTCACCATGACAGTAAGTTACTATAAAATAGGAATGTAGTGCCACTGATCACAAATCACTATTAATGGATGAAACATGGATCCCTAGTATACCTTTGTACACAAACACCTGCTATGATTATGCTGTGTAAATTCACCACCAGGGACACCTGAAGTCAATATTAAATGAATCGCTCTTTATTGTCAGCAAGCTGGAGAGGTTCCAACAAACTTAATGCACCATAGTACACGTCGATCGGGAGCTCTACCGGGTAGTCCCGTTAGTTCTCTTATATACTGCTTACACAGAAAGTTATATTAGCATGATTTACATTATTCATCATGAATTCATCATTAACGTTTGGTTCATGCATATGACCGACCAATACCTCACAAGGTTTCTTCTCTCCAAGCTGAGTCCTTGAAACTGAGATACCCATTTAGGTTCTCAAAGCAATGTTCTGGGCGTACAGCCAAATTGCTTATACTGATAGTGAGGATTCCTCCCAGGCACGATCAATCGGTCACTTGCATGAACCCAGTTAAATTGGTTATTAGAAAAGCAGAAACAAAAAAAAACATATTTTCCTTCACAAGTGGGTTTTAAAAATATGTTTCTTTTCAGTACAAAACACACTACATTAAAAATGGAAAATCCCGTCTGCCTTTTGCATTCAATGATGTCATGGGTCTGGAGGCACAAGAAAATGGGATGCAACCTGAAGACATCATCAGTGCTCTGAAGGGCCATCTACCAGAAGGCTATAAGGTAAACCAGAATACACAAATGTATTCATACACATGCAAATAATATTACACTGTAAATGTAGCCTTCCTTCACCCAACAAACAATGTCAATAGTTCTGCTCTTTCTACACTCTTAGAAAAAAGGGTTCCAAAAGGGTTCTTCGGCTGTCCCATATGAGAACCCTTTTTGGTTCCAGGTAGAACGTTTTTAGGTTCCATGTAGAACCTTTTCCACAGAGGGTTGCACATGGAACCCAAAAGGGTTCTACCTGGAACCAAAAGGTTCTACCTTGAACCAAAAAGGGTTTTTCAAAAGGTTCTCCTATGGAGTTTAGGTTCTAGATGGCAAAAAAATTTCTAAGAGTGTACCAACATCAGCCAAATAATCACTTTTTTCAATGCCAAATTAAACAAAACAAACAAGTAATAGTTTTAAACAGATAAGTCCTTTCAGACCAGTCTTGTCTTTCCTTGTGCCAGTTCAATCCTTGCTGGCCATTAACTGAGGAAAGTGCAGAATATAATAAGAAGCCTACGTCAAGTCACAAGGTTCACTGTTTGGTGAGTGTTGTGCCAGCAGACAAAATCTCTCTCATGACAAGTGATGTCATAGCCAAGATGAGGAAAGTCAGAGAAAAAGCCAGTAAACTGGGTGAGCTCTTCCAACCCCTTTATGTTTCTCTGTGTCTTTCTCACACTGTGTTTTTGAAATGGCCTTTGGCTGTAGATAGCTCTTGATATTCACTTTCACAATTACTTGAAACATTGTTACCTACTGTGCATTCGGAAAGGATTCAGACCCCTTGACTTTTTCCACATTTTGTTACGTTACAGCCTTATTCTAAAATGGATTAAATCGTTTTTTCCCCTCATCAATGTACACACAATACAAAGCAAAAAGCAGGTTTGTAGATTTGTTTTGCAAATGTATAAAACATTTAAACTTAAATATCACATTTACATAAGTATCCAGACACTTTGCTCAGTACTTTTTTGAAGCACCTTTGGCAGCGATTACATCTCGAGTCTTCTTGGGTATGACGGTACAAGCCTGGCACACCTGTATTTGGGGAGTTTCTCCCATTCTTCTCTGCAGATCCTCTCAAGCTCTGTCAGGTTGGATGGGGAGCGTCACTGCACAGCTATTTTCAGGTCTCTCCAGAGATGTTCGATTGGGTTCAAGTCCGGGATCTGTCTGGGCCACTCAAAGACATTCAGAGACTTGTCCCAAAGCCACTCCAGCGTTGTCTTGGCCGTGTGCTTAGGGTTGTTGTCCTGTTGGAAGGTGAACCGTCACCCCAGTCTGAGGTATTGAGCTCCCTGGAGCAGGTTTTCATCAAGGACCTCTCTGTGTTTTACTCCGTTCATCTATCCCTCGATCCTGACAAGTCTCTCAGTCCCTGCCGCTGAAAAACATCTCCACAGCATGATGCTGCCACCATCATGCTTCACCATAGGGCTGGTGCCAGGTTTCCTCGAGAGTTCAATCTTGGTTTCGTCAGACTAGAGAATCTTGTTTCTCATGGTCTGAGTCCCTTAGGTGCCTTTCATGTGCATTTTACTGAGGAGTGGCTTCCTTCTGGCCAGTCTACCATAAAGGTCTGATTGGTGGAGTGCCTTTTACAGAGGAGTGGCTTCTGTCTGGCCACTCTACCATAAAGGCCTGAATGGTGGAGGGCTGCAAAGATGGTTGTCCTTCTGGAAGGTTCTCCCATCTCCACAGAGGAACTCTGGAGCTCTGTCAGAGTGACCTTCGGGTTCTTGGTCACCTCCCTGACCAAGGCCCTTCTCCCATGATTACTCAGTTTGGCCGGGCGGCCAGCTCTATGAAGAGTCTTGGTGGTTCCAAACTTATTCCATTTAAGACTAATGGAGGCCACTGTGTTATTGGGGACCTTCAATGCTGCAGACATTTTTTCGTACCCTTTCCCAGATCTGTGCCTCGGCATAATCCTGTCTCGGATCTCTACGGACAATTCCTTCGACCTCATGGCTTGGTTTTTGCTCTGACATGCACTGTCTACTGTGGGACCTTATATAGACTGGTGTGTGCCTTAACCAAATCATGGCCAATCAATTAAATTTACCACAGGTGGACTCCAATCAAGTTGTAGAAACATCTCAAGGATGATCAATGGAAACAGGATGCACCTGAGCTGAATTTCGAGTCTCATAGCAAAGGGTCTGAAAACCTATGTAAATAAGGTATTTCTGTTTTTAATTTTTAATACATTTGCAAACAATTCTAAAAACCTGTGATCGCTTTGTCATTATGGAGTATTGTGTGTAGATTGATTAGATTATATATATGTATTAATCCATTTTAGAATAAGGCTGTAACATAACAATATGTGGAAAATGTCAAGGGCTCTGAATACTTTCTGAATGCACTGTATATATTAGCCCTTCCATTCTATCATTTCTATAAACAGGAATCCCTCAGGTTGTTGTCATGACCATGCCAGACAAGGCTTGTGATCTGGTGGACAGGGATGTGAAGAACATCTACACCAGCAAGGCAATCAAAGAGAAGGTAAGTCATGTTTTACATTACATTAATCCTGAAGTCACATTCAATCTTGATTGTTCAGGTAAAGCAAAAGTTCTGCTCACTCAGGTAAAGCAAAAGTCCTGCTCACTCAGGTAAAGCAAAAGTCCTGCTTTCTCAGGTAAAACAAAAGGCTTGCTTACTCAGGTAAAGCAAAAGTCCTCGTTTCTCAGCTAAAGCATAAGTCATTTTTGTCCAACATTTCTCAGATGCAGATCTGCAGTAATGAGCTGGGTGTTCCCATGAACTGCATCCTACCGGTGAAAAACTACCATGAGGAGGGGGTGCTGGATGATGATATGGACATCCTGATACTGAACGCCATGACTCAGATTATGCATTTTGCCAACGACTACCTCTGGGACCTCCAGCAACATGCATGAGTGTCACACACCTACATGAGTGTCAAACGCTAGGAGATTTGAGAGCCCTGCAGTATACTCCTATGTCTAAATAGACTAGATTTAATTTCCCCCTTAGGAAATAAGACATATTTTTTGAAGGCAGGATGAAGTAAGATTGGAGTGAAAGTTCTCCTTTCAATGTTTTCATATTGCTTCATAAAGTACAATGAGTTATATAAAATCAATGTCAGTTATCTATGCATCATGTTTTGCATTCTATCAAATATACTAGTGTAGTGTATTAAGATTATGACTTTGTTAGGGGTTTTAAGTGGAACCTGAGAGGATGTTTATTTAGTGTCAGAGGGAATTGTTTTTAGGGTGACGCCCCATACAAGACAGGGGATTGGACAGTAGAGGGAGCCACCCATATTTTGGGGAAGATTATATATACTGGGTTTAAACGAAGAAGAGCAGAGCAGACATTGCAATTTGGGAACCACTGCTCTCCGGGTGGTCATGACATCCGTAAACTTATACTGAAATCTTGTGATATGAATAAACCTTATGATCAAAGTTCAGTATGAGCGGACTCCTTTGTTTAGCGGCAATGATTAGCAACATTGACTCGACACTACACTAGCTTATCTAATGCAAGTGTACACTGTTGGGTGTTACATGTCTTGAACCTATTCTGTGGAATATGGATACCTTCCATACAGGGTTCTAGTGTGATACGCCAAAAAGAGTACACCGCCACTACATTGAGTCACTATAAGTCGATACTTGTAAAAATTTCCATTTTTTTATGCTTTTCTTGTACCTATGTTTGTCCTGTGCAACTGCAGGCTTTTCTTTGGGTGCTGAAGTACGTTGTTTTTGCAGTTACACAGGGCAAACATATACATTTTTATAAGTATCGACTGTGTCGTAGTAAATATAATTTGTTATAGATTGGTCTGACTAAAATGTTCTGTAAGACCCATTTGGAGCCTGTTTTCAATAAATGCTGTTCCAGGTCAGAGAGCAAAAGGTCAGAGAACAAAAGGGCAGGAGAACACCTTATCTTCTCAACAGATGGCCTAGGAATGCGATAATAGACAACACCCCCACCTCCGGCCATAAACAACAGATACTCCTCAGGAGTTCCCTGGACACACAAAACATTTCGTTTGCACGCACACTCATTCTCCACTCCCCTTCTACTGGTCGGGTGCCAAGGGCAGAGGACTCTGCCGTGCACCAATGGGGCTTCTACTCTGGACAGAGCAGACCCGCCTCCTACGCCTCGGGAACCAATCAGGGACTAGAAGAAGGACCCCTTCCTTTATGTTACATTGTATAAAGTAATGCTGTAAACTCTTTTTAATCATCCTTCTCAACTGTCTCCATAAGAGGCAATTGATTGGGTCCATGCATGTTAATTAGCAGGATCCCATGCATGTAGCTAACAGTAACAGATATCTCTGTGTTTAATAAACTGCCTTTTGCTTAAGCAAATTCCTCTCTGTCTAGCGTCGATGGTTTTGTACTTCCTCTCCAAATTATGGTTTCACCAACAAATGCTAGTGACTCGATGTAGTTGGTGGTACACTCCGCCGATACTCATCGCAACTTATCTCTGTAGAGATGTATATGACGGAGATGAGTTTACTCAGCTAGCTAGCTAGCTAACTTCTTTGTATAAAACTAGCCTATATGCATAGCACATTCTAAATATCTGATGGCTGATAGCATTCCATACAAGACAAGACAGAATGCATAAATAAGCCAACAAATATTAGTTAAATAAAATATGGAACAGTTAACGAAAACCTGCATAGACTAATGGGGCGTTCACATGCTGTCGGGTTTATCTGAAGTTTGTAGTTTCAACTGGGAAATTTCACTTGAACAACCCTCCAAGTCGTAATTACAAGTGGGGAACTCTGAGAAAATGTTGTTACCAGAGTTGCCGAGTTGTGACGTTTCACCACTGAACTTTTACATTTTAAACCAAATGATGACAACAAATCCGTTTTTTGACAATTACAAACGTATTAATATGGATAATGTAGCTAGTTTTACCATATTATTAATGTTACGCAAGCTAGCTAACTTTATTTTTAGACATTTTAGATAGCCTATCAAGCTACCTAAAATCCTATTGGTTGAAGAATTGTTCCGACATCAAAACAACTTGAACAATTTACAAATTCCCACTTCACGGTTACCAACTTCTCACGAGCATGTGAATACCTGATTAGATAGTGAAGCCCGTTTTAGCATGGGCAGCACCATTGAGGAATTTCACCATTTTGACCTAGATAGTTTGTGTGTATGATATGTAGGCTACGTGTGCCTTTTTTTCCCCATTGATGTAGTTCTGTCCTTGAGTTGTTCTTGTCTATTAATGTTCTGTATTATGTCATGTTTCATGTTTTGTGTGGACACCAGGAAGAGTAGCTGCTGCTTTTGCAACAGCTAATGGGGATCCTAATAAAATACCAAATACCATTTTCAAGTAGGCAACTGGGTGGGACTTCCTATGGGTTAAGGAAGGATCACATAATTCCATCCAGGTCATCAGGTGGATCAGCCAAAGAGTGATACTCATTAGCAAACATTCCATAACTGTAGGTGGAAGTAAATCCCCAACCTTGGCTTTATACCTTTTCAAACACACTCCAGGTGGCAGTGTGCACCATTTCAGTTTGTTTACCAACTCATAGAAGTAGTAAAATAAGAAATGCACTACTTTAAAATGGAGCAGAGGAGGCTGGTGGGAGAAGCTATAGGAGAATGGGCTCATTGTAATGGCTGGAATAAATGGAACGGCATTAAACATATGGAAACCACATTTGACTCTGTTCCATTAATTACATTCCAGCCATTACAATGAGACCGTCCTCCTATAGCTCTTCCCACCAGCCTCCTCTGAAATTGAGATAGTCTCAATGGCCCTGCCCATGCTGTCACAACAACATAATGGGACAGATACAAAGTAAGAAGTCTAACTAAGTCTATGGCAAGCTGACAGCAAAGCATTTACTTAGACATCTCATAACCCCCCGAGTGGCGCAGTGGTCTAAGGCACTGCATTGCAGTGCTAGCTGTGCCACTAGAGATCCTGGTTTGAATCCAGGCTCTGTCGTAGCTGGCCGTGACCGGGAGACCAATGGGGCGGTGCACAATTGGTCCAGGGTAGGGGAGGGAATGGCCGGCAGGGATGTAGCTCAGTTGGTAGAGAATGGTGTTTGCAACGCCAGGGTTGTGGGTTCGATTCCCACAGGGGGCCAGTATGAAAAATAAAATAATGTATGCACTCACTAACTGTAAGTTGCTCTGGATAAGATTGTCTGCTAAATAACTAAATGTAATCTTTGAATCTGTAACAGCATGGGGAGCACCATTGAGGCTATCTCCATTTTAAAGCAGCACATTTCTTCTTCTACTACTTCAATGCAGCAAAGGTGTCGGCTAGAGAGGATGTGCACAGATTCCGGCAGGGATTTGTAGTCTTGCATGACAAAGTATCAGCTTTTTAATTGTTTCATAAAATGCAATAAACTGAATAATGTTTCATTTCTCTCATACACCATAAAAGGCATTTTATTTTGTCCAACATGTGTTTAAAGGCCTTTATTGTTTCGTTCTGACATCTGGGATGGGGAGTAGAGGGTGGAGGCCCACCTCTTTTTTCTTTTTTTTCTTTACATACCAATTTTATTATGATTAAATAATGTAATGTGAGCAACATGATCATTCCATTGTATGTATTTCTTAGTTTTGTTTTTCTTACGGATATATACAGTATCAGTCAAAAGTTTGGACACACCTACTCAGTCAAGGGTTTTTCTTCATTTTTACTAATTTCTACATGGTAGAATAATAGTGAAGACATTAAAACTATGAAATAACACATTTACATTTTCGTCATTTAGCAGACGCTCTTATCCAGAGCGACTTACAAATTGGTGCATTCACCTTATGATAGCCAGTGGGACAACCACTTTACAATATATATAAAAAAAAAATTTGGGGGGTGGGGTAAGGGGGGGTAGAAGGATTACTTTATTCTATCCCAGGTATTCCTTAAAGAGGTGGAGTTTCAAGTGTCTCCGGAAGGTGGTGAGTGACTCCGCTGTCCTGGTGTCGTGAGGGAGATTGTTCCACCATTGGGGTGCCAGAGCAGCGAACAGTTTTGACTGGGCTGAGCGGGAACTGTGCTTCCGCAGAGGTAGGGGGGCCAGCATACCAGAGGTGGATGAACGCAATGCTCTCGTTTGGGTGTAGGGACTGATCAGAGCCTGAAGGTACGGAGGTGCCGTTCCCCTCACAGCTCCGTAGGCAAGCACCATGGTCTTGTAGCAGATGCGAGCTTCAACTGGAAGAAAGTGGAGTGTGCGGAGGAGCGGGGTGACGTGAGAGAACTTGGGAAGGTTGAACACCAGAAGGGCTGCGGCGTTCTGGATGAGTTGTAGGGGTTTAATGGCACAGGCAGGGAGCCCAGCCAACAGCGAGTTGCAGTAATCCAGACGGAAGATGACAAGTGCCTGGATTATGAACTGTCCCGCTTCCTGTGTAAGGCAGGGTCGTACTCTGCGAATGTTGTAGAGCATGAACCTACAGGATCGGGTCACCGCTTTGATATTAGCGGAGAACGACAGGGTGTTGTCCAGGGTCACGCCAAGGCTCTTTGCACTCTGGGAGGAGGACACAACAGAGTTGTCAACTGTGATGGCGAGATCATGGAACGGGCAGTCCTTCCCCGGGAGGAAGAGCAGCTCCGTCTTGCCGAGGTTCAGCTTTAGGTGGTGCTCCGTCATCCACACTGATATGTCTGCCAGACATGCAGAGATGTGATTCACCACCTGGTTATCAGAAGGGGGAAAGGAGAAGATTAATTGTGTGTCGTCTGCGTAGCAATGATAGGAGAGGCCATGTGAGGATATGACAGAGCCAAGTGACTTGGTGTATAGCGAGAATAGGAGAGGGCCTAGAACTGAGCCCTGGGGGACACCAGTGGTGAGAGCACGTGGTGCGGAGACAGATTC